CACTGTTCTAGTATTTGATATTGCTATTCCCCCTTTTCTTGAAGCTCTCACTTCTTGACCTACACATTACCTTCATTTGGTTTTCCTCCTCTCTTCTTGGTCCATCCCTTTGGTATTTTTGTGTTTTGTTCATTGCTATATTCTCAACACTCGGGGCTCTCAATACATATGTTAGGTTAACAAATGAAGAGCCTCGACTTTTTCTTTCTCCATATTCTCCCTGGAAGACCATCTGTATCTCATAGCTTCAACTCACATGTGAGAACAACTTTTCACTCCAGCTCAACAGTCTCTATAAGGATCCAAATCCTATGTCATAGAAAGCTTAGAAATAAATTTGCTCCTGATTTTACTGCATTCTTTCTGTATATGAGAGCTTAGAAGAAGGCTCCATTCAGAGAAGATAGCATAATGAGACTATAACAGTTTTGTCTTAAAAACATATTGGTTTTGACCTCCCTAAAAATTTTTCTCACCAGGTCTTTATCTGTAGGTTGTAATAACTTATATCCCTGTGTATGTTACTAACTGGTATTCCATTGTATAGAGTAAAAAGATTTTTAAAAATATCTATAAAGCTGCTCACAGGAAACCCAGTCTTTTATAATTCATTCCATTTCTAAATATTTGATACTACTCCATATTTTCCAAATGTCCTATGTAAAACAGAAATTGTCTTCATGGCTTCAACAATGTTTCTGCATATATTATTTCATAACAAAAACAGTTCCTCAGTACCAGTCCAGCTCCTAAATAAAATAAATCCTAAAGAACACCCTTCCTGCTACTATACTCTCAATCATTTGCACTGACATGCTCCTAAGACTTCCTCCTCTTTGCCTTACTTTCCCCCTACATCCTTTGGTTAACAGCTCAGCAGCCTGGCAACGGTTTTACCTTTACTGATAAACCTCAGCATCTCATTCACTGAGAAAAATGGTGTCAGTATGGCTTTTCTTGGCCTAATGATTAAGCTAAATATATACCTATTTTCATGACAAGAAAGACAAAACAAAACATTAAATTTCAAACCTGTATCACAACTCTCATCACTCTACTTAGTGAATGCCTTGTGGTAAAGAAAGAGCTCTAATGATTCTAATCACCCACTGAATGCTTCCTTCTTCATGCTAGTTTGTGCAAAGAGTCTCTTTGTGAAATAACATGTGAAAACTTGTATTAAAAACCAGGACCAGAAAACAATGAAGCTGGAGCCATAAATGATATTTATATTATGTTGTGGCTCAGAAAAGTACTTCCAGAGGAAAGAAGGAAACACAAAGCTAACAGAAAGAAGTATGGTCAAGGTTTTTTAGTAAAGGAAGTGCCTACCTACACTGTGGTGATACATATGTTAACAGCACACTGGTAAAGGTTCCTATCCTTAGGTGGAGTAGGAAATGTTAAGTGGTATAGCTATGCTGTAAACACTGCACTGCCAGAAGAGGAAGTACAACCAGTGGGTCTGGAACATGAAGAAAGAAGCAGGTCTAAGGCTGATTTCTGAAGGATAAGTAGGAATTATTCACATGGAAAGGAGGAAGAGGTCATTCAGGAAATAAAATCAGTATGTATAAAGACAGACAATAAAGAGTTTAGGCAATTCCACATTGTTAAGAGTAGAGCACAGGGCACATGTAGAGAACTGAACAAATGAGATGGAACATGAAACTGAGGTGTGAAAGGCTTTGTATGAACTCACTGAATCCTTGATGTTCTTAGCTATTGCTGCACACCCAGAAGCTAGGAGAGTACCTGACACTTAATAGGTTCCAATTTTAAAACTAAATTTTAAAAATGGGGAGTGTGCCTTTTTGATGATTATTCCCCATTTCTTCCTACACAGAAAACTCTATAATGCTATTTTGATAATTTTCTTATCAAGGAACACGTTGGCAGTCTAATTTCAACTATTAACTCCTTTTGGAACCACCAAGCTTTGTCGTAACTGCTTCAAAGCAGCACTATCAGATGACATCTTCTATTTGTCTTCACTCATGTTAACCTGGAGAGCAGTTTGAATAAATTTCCCTATTGAGTAAGATGAAAAAAATACCAATTCCATTGCAAGCATTGCAAAAGGAATTGTGACCCTAAAGGAGTTCTTTCAACCTCACAAGAACATATCTAAGTAATAGCAATGCCTTATGCCTTCATCTGACCTTCATCCTACCTTGTCTCCTCCCCACCCACCAAGTCTGTTCCTTAGTTTGCCTAATTAACTATATGGGTTGAGTACATTCTGCCAACTCTCACAGAATAGCTTTGAAAACAACCTTTCTGATTATCGGAGAGCCATTTAGTAAACCATAATCAGGATTTAAAAAAAACTTGGAAGGACTGAGCTCTATAGAGAAATTTATGAAGTAGCCTCTTAGCTCACAGTACTACATCTTACTGCAGAAGCTCTTGTCACCAGATCTAGAATGAAGCTGTCTAATAAACTAATTCAGGTAAGAACTCACAGGGTACATTTCAGGTGGAAGTACTGTACTGTCTAACTCAATCCATTCATGAGTTAGGCTCAAAGACAGGTTAAACCTGAGCTGACATTGACTGGCTCAAGTGCACACATTCTATCTTTCATTAACTAATCCATTCTTTAATCACAGAAGCCTTTAGTGTGTACCCAGGGCAGCACATATTGCCTTTCTGCTATCTGTTCATTTGGAAAGACTTATTAGCCTGGCTACAAAGAGAGAATGTTTAATTTAATCCACTCCCTTCTCTCTCTCTCTCTCTCTCTCTCTCTTTTTTTTTTTTTTTTGTACTGGGGACTGAATCCAGGGGTACTGTACCACTGAGCTACATTTCCAGTCCCTTTTTCGTTTTGAGACAGGGGCTCACTAAGGCTGTAACTTACAATCCTACTGCCTCAGATTCCTGAGTTGCTAGGAATATATGTATGTGCCACCATACCTGGTGACAATCCATTCCTCTCTTCAGATACTATTTTTGAAGAAAATGCTTTGAAAGTCTGCACTCTGTTGTGAACATTTAAATGTCTCTTCCACTGTCCAACTGGGAAATGTATATACTGAGAAAAAAGCATACTGGGGGATTGGTGAAATTCGTATGCCAGAAGCCTTATTGTTCCATTACCCTCTCATGCTAGGAGTTCCAGATTTAAAAAGAAAAGTAGGGAAAAATGAAAGGGAAACCCTCAAAGTTATCAATTGGGATTAGCTGTATTACTAATAACCATTTCTTTCTATTAGCTCTAGGCCAGCCATAAACAAATCATGGGTATTCTAGGTAGTACAAAATTAGTCTATATATTAGTACATGATAAACAGAAAATACGAATTCAAGTTAGGACATAGTATTACAAATACATAAAGTGTCACTATGTCCTCTTTTGGTAGTTTCAGATGGAACTAACTGTAGGTCACTTGGCTACATACAATTATTAGGGAGAAGAGCCAGCCTCTAAAGACTCTGGCAGAACTGACAGAGCTAAGAAAGCTGGTTTGGAAAAAATAGTTAAGTAGTCTAGGAAATGTCAGAACTCCAAAAATGATTGCAGCTAAATTCTCCAAAGTGGGGAATGATGTGGTAGCAAAATAGGGAAAAACCAGCTGGCCATTGATCAAATACTTCAAATCAAGGAGGGCAGAAACTCAGATTGGGGAGTGGAAAGGACATAGCATAGCATAGGGAATGGGCTAGAGTAGTGCTTCTCAAATTAACTGGAATGACAACCACTTGGATGGTTTGGTAAGAGAAGTTTTATGAGCCCACATTCCCCAGTTTCTGATTCAATAGGACTGGCATAAAGTCCAATAGCTTACATTGCTCATAAATTCCCAGGGGATACTGATAGTGTTGGTTTAGGAGAGCACATTTTGGAACTCTGAAGAAAGGATATTAGATCAAGCTCCTTAGCTTCTCAAATATGACCAAGAACAGTCTTGAAGCCCCAGCCAAATGAGTTGGAAAAGATTCCATGAGGGTGCCAAGGACACTTAAAAGTAGAAGGGCAACATTCAGAACCAAACAATAAGAACTTGTGCACAAAGAATGCATCAAATGCACTGCAATAGTAAAAACAATAATCACTAATGTTTTATACAGGCCTTTTGCCTTATGCATATCATTTTTCATCAAACTTAAAACCACCCACTGAGATAGGCCCTTATTTTTTTTTTTTTTTTTCCACATCAGGAAGGCAAGACTAGAATGTTGGGTAACTTGCTCCAAGTGTTAGAAGTGAATATGTGCTGCACCAAGACTGAAATCTTGGTTTGGTGGCCCATCAAAAGTGGGTTTCCTCTTCCTACATGTGCTGCCTGTAGCAATGTATCTCCTGGTCAAAGCCATACTTTCAGTGCCAATTCTAAATATGCCTTTTCATAATAGGATGATAACTATGTTGTTAACTCCTGCATTCACAGGAAATCCTAAAACAAGGTAAATTTAAATAAAGATAAAACAGACTAAGGAAGAGGCAGATTAACTGATATGAAGACCAAGCTTCCATGTTTACCTGCTATTTCTAGTCTACAGACATGCAAGGGAAACTCTTACTCCACCTTTTTAAAATTGTTGGTTTGGGTTTTTGTTTTTAGACATGGAACCACAGGGCCTCATGCATGCTACAATGAGCTACATCCAAGACCCTCTTACTGAAATGTAAATCACCTAATTCTTCTATCTAAAATTTAGCCTCTTCTTAAATCTTCCCCTTTTCACTTACCTCAGAAAACTGTGAGGATTAAGTGATGAAGGGATTACTGCAGTTAGACTCAGTGAAAATAACTATGGTGTTGCCATTAAAAAAGCGTATTGTAGGACCAGCTCAGTGAAGAGGTGGAGACTGCGACCCAAGTTTAGGAGTTACCGCATTATTGAGGTACCGCTACGGAGGGACAAGGGTCCACAGACGAACACCATACAATGAAAACCAGCGTCCCCTCTGAAGGATCAGTATTTACCCGGCAAGACAGCGAGAAAGAAACATCTAGTGAAATTAAACAAACAAACAAACAAAAAACACCTACAGGGATATTCCGTTGGAAAAAGGCAAGAGCGAAGCTTCCACAAGGTTCATTAACCACAGTTCACTGATCCCACCCCCTTGATCCCGGGACCCAGGCACTAGGAAAGGGCCCTGGTGAGCCTTTCGGCTCGAGAGGCTCCGGTGATCCGCGTCTGAAACACGTTGCACACCATGGAGGAAGCAACCACCGCTGGTGCTGGCTTTCAGCAACAAAGACGCTGCGAAAGGAAACCCAGAAACCTCACTAGCAAGCAGGGTCCGAACGCGCAGGCGGAAAGCCAGTTCACGGCCGCCCATTCCCCTCCCTCCCCGGACTCCCCGGCCCAACCGGCTCTCACATCCCGACCTCGCGGGCCCACAGGGCTAGAGGGGCCCAGGGCCACCCAAGGTCGTACCGCCGCCGGCACCCCTCGTAAGCCCTTTACTAGCCACCCCACCCAGCCATCCGCCACCCCCACTCTGGGTCGCTGCTCGCGGCCAGTCTACGGAGTTCCATAATTACCTAAAGCTCCACCGCGCCGCCATTACACCGGATGTACATCACTTCCCCTTCCACAGACTGGCAGCAGGAGGAAGGCGGACCGTAACACAAACCTGACGCAGTAGGCTATGGGACATCAACCCATTAAATTAAGTTTGATAACATGAAGTAATACCAGATTCAAAGCAGTTGATCCGGCCACACGCCTTCCGTACCAACTCGGCGACAAAAGAAAAGTTGATAGGAACTACAAAGCCCAGCATCCACCGGCTGCGCGGGCGGAAATGACGAGTGCAATTGTGGTTTCGGCGTGAGAAGGCCTCAGGGCACGGTGGGAATTGTAGTTTTTAAACACACGCGGGAAAAAGCACATGCAGGTTGCCCATTCTGGACTTGATAAATGGTGCTGACTTTAATCCAAAACTGCTTTTATAACATTACAAAAAAAAAAAAAAAAAAAAGGGCCTTTGTGGTCACATTTCCGTGAAAATAATTTCTTCCGGTCTTGGGGATCAAACCCAGGACCTCACACAAGCTTGGCAAGCACTCTACCACTAAGATGAACCTTAGCCCTTTCTGAAAATATACACAGAAAATATAAACCTGTTTTTAAACTTTTTGCAATAGTTCGACCAAAATATTACCAAATGTTTAGTACTTATTACGTTCCAAGATTTTAAGACTAAGTAAATGAAAGCCGGACTACAAATAAAATGAAATAACTTAATTCCATAGCCTATGATTCTTCTGTTTTAAGTGATGGTGCCAAATGTTAAGACATTGTGAGGATAAGGAGGTGATTATCTAGCAGAGTTGAAAATAGCAGTCTGTAAAGAGTTCAACCATAGGGCATCAATCAAACTGTTTCCTTAAACTTTACCGTCGTGGGATTTTTTTTCTTCTTTTTTGCTTAAAACAAAGCTGTCTTTGTGTTCCCCAACTGTTTATAAACCGGGTCTGGCTTCTTTATTAAAACTCCTCTGTTACAATTTAAGGTTCTCGTGCTTTCAGCCCTTTCTGAAAGAAGATAATGATTAAAAATAAAAACTGAACCTAGACTACTTGTGCTTGAATCATGTGCCCTTTGATTTATCCAGTATTGATGTTGGACAAATTTCTTCACGTTCTTTGCCTGTTAAATAAGAATAATAGTAATAGCCACTTATTCCACAGTTTTAAGAATTAGTTGATACACATGGTGCATGTAAGATGATCACTAGTATATAATAGTTATTATTTTCATATTCAAGATATTTGGCTATTGTTAAAGGTCCATTTTGGCAATTTAAAATATTTGAGTGAATACATTCCAGTTTGTTTCGAGGGGGCAAAATTGCAAGGGGGAGAAATAAAGATTGTCCATGAGCTTCTGACCCTTTCAATGCTTTATTCACTCGAATTACTCAATACAATTTCACTCTATAGGTTCCTGATCAAGAAAACGACAGTTCTTAATGCTAGGCATTGTGATAGAAATAATCAATTCACAGCAAACAATTCTAGATTAATCAATTCACACCAAAAAATTCTAGATTAATTCTAAGCACTGCAAAACACACTTAATCATGACAGGCTAATGACAGACATTCCCTCTGCATGCTAAGTTCAAAAGTCTTAAGCCTTAGACTTTATGTCCAGCAGATGCACACTCACTCAGACTGCAGTGACCAGATCCAGAACCAAGGCAGGCTTTTCCTGGCGTGGATTGAACAACTGATTGAGGAGAGGTTCATAGGGAGAGGTTGCGACTCTCACCAAGGTCCAGATGAGGCGGTAGAGTTTGAGAGTGGTGAGGATCACACAGAGGATCAGAAACGATGACAAGTGATGTTCTCCAGCTCAAGTGCATCCTTGTTTTGGCTGGCTGAATCCCTGTCCATTAGCTCAATTATTTATACTAAATTTGGGGGCTTTTGACCCCCACTTTCAATCCTTATCAGTACCACCAGATTTCTCCGTGACATCATTTAGCCTGGGGTCAGAAATATCTGGCCTGGTGGTTTCCACCCTGATCTCTCACCTTTCTCTCTCATCAGGCGGGAAACAGCCTGCCAGGGGCTTCACTGTTTTTCAGGGTGAGGGGAAATAACTTGTTTGAGGCCATACTGGAGTGTTCTGTGGGAGTGCCTGGTGAGACTGCAGGTTTCAAACTGGAGTTTTTAAAATGGAGTTGCTTAGGCTCAGGCCTCACAAAGTTGTATCGATACAGTTCATAGAAGATGAATCTGGCAAACATTTGTATCTATACCTGAAAAAAAAAGAAAACAACAACAGCAACAACAAAACACATACACAATACTACCTATACAATTATCAGTGGAAAAAGGAAAGTTAGGGTTGAGCCTCCAGGAGCTGAATGGAGCTGGAAAATACTAGGTTTGTCAGTTTGGTCCTTCAGAAAGTAGATAACAAGATAGTATTAGGATCCCTTTGTGGTGATGCACATCTGTAATCCCAGTAGCTTGGAAGGCTGAGGCAGGAGGATCAAAATTTCAAAGGCAGCCTCAGCAATTTAGGGAGGCCCAAAGCAACTCAGCAAGGCCCTATCTGTAAATAAGATATTAAAAAAGGACTGGAGATGTGGCTCAATCCCTGGTACACACACACACACAAAAAAAAAAAAAAGAAAGAAAAGAAAGGAAAAAAAAGAAAAAGAAAGAATTAGGAATGTAAAAGAAAAGAAAGGAGAGGAACAGGATTGGAGAGGGTACTCTAGAGCAAAAGAGAAAAAGCCTGCATTGGGATAAAATATCCAGACACCTTGTACCACAGTCTTATTTTGCCCAGTGGCTTGTTGGAGTTACCCCAAGAAGAGTCTGATCTGAACTCAAAATTCAAGGCTAATTTGAAGATTTCAGAAGTTGGAGGCTGTCACCTAACCATACTCTTTTAAGCTAGACAAGTCTTTTCTTGAACAGGTGTTATAGTAGCAAATCTCTGTGCCTGTCACAGTTCAGCACCACCATATAGGTCCACTCTCCATATACATTTAGGATACAGTTTCTCCAGGATTCTAATGGACCTCTCTTTTTTAAGAGAAATTTATTTATTTATTTAAATTTATTTTTGGTACTGGGAATTAAATACAGGGTTGCTTAACCACTGAGATACATCTCCAAAACATATTCCTCCAATATTTTGTTCAGAGATAAAGTCTTGCTAAGTTGCTTAGTGCCTTGCTAAATTGCTGAGAGTGGCTTTAAACTCACAATCCTCCTGCCTCTGCCTCCTGAGCCCTGGAATTACAAGCATACACCACTACACAGGGTCCAGAAGGAAATTTAGCAGACAGAATTTAGTGGGGCAAATTACAGTCCCCATCTTGGCAATTTGTCTTGAGGCCAACTGGACTCTTCATCATTCATTCTAGATTTCTTTTACTGTCAGTTACTACTTCTACTGGTCTCAGTGGTTAACAGTAGTGTGAAAAGCTCAATTCCTTGGAATATGAGCACTTGGTAATTGTCTCTTTTTTAGGCAGACATTGTGTTTATCTATTTACTGTCACTATTGAGCAAGGAATTACTAGAAGTTGGCCACATGGGTTACCTGAGTACCACAAATATTAATTTGCTCCCATTGTGTAATACTAGACCTCTATCATCCTGTCAGGCATTGACTTCTTCTGGTCTTCTGGCTCATGAACTCAACAAATCCAAAGTTCCCAGCAGCAACTAAAGCTTAATTCCATAAGACATTTGCTGTGTCCCTTAGCAAAAATATAGCACCTTTGGGGAATGTGACTGCTAATTCCACAGCTCAGAGCAGGAAAGAGAAACATTGCATCCTACAGTGAATCATTTGAAAAATGTTAAGTGGAGCTATTTCTGTTTTCTTTCTTGTTTCCTGGACCATGTAGTTTTTCTGTTGGGGACTCTGAACCATACCTCATTCTTATAGACTGTTTTCCTTAGCTAGTTTGTGAACTGCACCTTAAGCATTCTGTTCCAGTACTCCATTAGGCCACCAGATTCTGGGGCATGCAGCCTGTGATATAACCATCAGAATCCATGGTCACAGGCACCCTCCTGGACCACCTTTGCTGTAAAGTTAGTACTGATTGGTTGCTATGTTATATTGTATTTGATGCTGATGATTAAACATTGTTTAAGTCCTCAGATAGTGGTACTGAAAGAAGGTTGGTTTATATAAAATGCAAATGCATACCCCAAATAAGTAACCTATTCCCATGAAATTGAACTGCTGTCCATGGTAGTATGGAAAGGTCCCACTAGAGTCTCTTTGCCACCAAGTAGCTATTTGATCTTCTTACGAAATGGTATCATATTAGGGGCTCAAGATGACAGGTTGAAACTTTGGATGAGAAAACAAGTAGGCAGATCAGCTAAGGTAGGTGAACTTCATGTTGATTCATTCGCAGACTCAAATTATGCCACCCTGGCCATTTGTTCATGTGGCCACTCTCTGCACTGAGTGGCCACTAACAAAGGATGACATCAACTAACTGAATAATTTTTTTCTACTTGTTTTTAGTGTTTCTTTTAGATTACATTTTTTTTCTACCTGTTTTTTTGTGGCTGTTGATGCTTGATAAAATGATCTTCACACTTTTTGTCCACATCAATATAGAAGCACCCCCTTATCTGTGGGGAATGTATTCCAAGATATTCCTGGGATGCCTGAAATCTCACGTAGCACCAAACCTTACATAGATTGATTTGGCTTATATATAGGTACCTATGATAAAGCTTAATTTATAAATTAGATACAGTAAGAGATTAACATCACTGAAAATAAATTAGAACAATTATAACAATAGAATAATAAAAGTTGTTGAAAACTTATAAATTGCTTATTTATGGAATTTTCTATGTAATGTTTTTGGACTGTGATTGACAGTGGGTAATTAAACCATGAAAAGTGAAATTGTAGCCAGGAGGAGAGTACTATATGTATATTCACATACCTCTAACCCTCTCATACGTTTTCTCCAGTCTTCTAATTTCTTTTCAGTCCTTTGAGCAGCTATCCAGGATGTTTATCATGGCCTTTAAGTCTATTTATACTCTGATCTCAGGCCTCTTCTCCTTCCATACAAAGTGGATGACCAAATGTACTGCCCAAAGCTCTGTCCATTGGATGATTTTTCCTCTCCACTGTCTTCTAGCATGTTCCTTAGTGAGTCTGCAATACAGC